CGCCGCGCGGGCCGGTAAGCGGCCTCCCCCCCTCCCCGCCTTTTGGCCGCCCTGAGGGAAAAAACGGAGAAGGGACCCCTCACCACACACACACACACGAGTCGTTCACCTTCCCCCCTCCCCGGTCAATGGCAAGAGCCGCCAACTCCCTTCCCCTCCCTCCCCACACTTCGCCTCACGAGGTGTGTGTGTGTGTTTTGTGTGTTCCGCACGCATTCTTGTGGGTCGGTTTTGAGGGAGGGGCAGAAAAGGCGGTTCTCACAACCAATGAACTTTTGGTTGTTGTGGGAGGGGGCGGCTCTGAGAGACTTTTAAGCCCTCAGGGGAAAGAGAGAGACTGTAATTAATTCATGTTTTAATTAATTAATTGATTGATGTGTGTATGTGTGTGTATATATATAATATATCTAAAGGTATTTTAAAAATTCTAAATTCCAGACCCTCCTCGGAGAGGTGCCTCGTTGGGACCCTCTGGATGGTCTCTTGGGGTCCCTTGATTATTGTTTTTTTAAACTGTTTTGAGCCTGCCTTTCTCCTTAAAAAGGGTGGCTTACAACAATTAAACAGCAGTGTTAAAGCTAATGAGAATGAGTGTGTAGTGCTAAAAAGGTCAATTAATGCAATACCCCAAAATAGAAGCAGCACAAAAGTACATTCAATGCCATTCCCCAGACGTGTAGTGAGGATTTGAACTCTTAGCCCAGGATCCCCAGTTTCCTCTTATCTGCTCCACCTGAGAAGTATGGTTCTTTGCTGCTGATTTACCCCTTGGGCTTAATTATTAAGTTATATTTATATTCCGCAATAAAGTCAAGGCAGCACATAAGGCACACACCTTATGTGGCACACACCAGTTAGGCACACACCTTCTTGCCAATGTTGTATGTATGTGTGATTCAAAAATGTTACACATATAAATGTTTAGTAAAGTGACTAGCAAAACAAAATACTGCAGCAAGATGTCCCATTTATATATTTATGTAATATGTGTTTCCAAAGATGTAGCCAGGCTTGTCTGAGCTGGTTGGCAGAAGGAAACAAAAGTAAAATATTGTAGCTATTTTGTACTGTATTTGTATTATATTTAAAGACTGCTTTTTCCTCTCCCATCAGAACTTTTGTGGATCGAAATCCACTTCCTCAGACCCTGCTGTTGTCACTCCCAAATAAACCAGTGAGTGAGTTAGAGAAGCCCTACCCCAAAAATAAGCTCCAGTTAAGTGAAACCCCGCCCTCCACCCTCGTGCAGCAACCAGAAGAACATGATATGACTGCATTTGAATCGGTGTAGATGGTTGTAGAGGGAAAAAATTAAACATCTCCTAAAAATAAGCGAGGAAAAAAATTAAACATCTCCTAAAAATAAGCCCTAATACATTTTTAGAGGAAAAATTAATATAAGACCCTGTCTTATTTTGGGGGAAACACGGTAATTTAACTTTTCCATGGGAATGATATGTTTTGGCCTTTGGGAAGAAGATGTATAACTTGTTACAATCCCTTTCTTGTACATTTTTTCCTTCTAGCCTTCTCTGTTTTATCACTTAAAATCTGAAAGACTGGGTGGTGGTGAACAGCAAGATACTTTCACTTCTGGACTGAATTTTGAAATAATCCGTTGTATTCTTCCGAACCATTTCTACCACATCAAGTTGTGATCTCAGAGGCCTTATGAATTCATCACTTCCCATCTCCACTCCACCTCAGGTAACAAAACCAAAGCAGGGCCAAAAACAGTATTTAAAATGTCAGCTACACTTTACGAGGCATTGACAGTTGATGAGCCTGTACGGGTGTAGGTTTTGGGGAGTTTAATATTAAAATGCAGTTTTAAAAAGTTATTCCAGGAAACTGTATTGTGGTTGAGTTACATTATGGCTCCTCTCTTTCCGACTTTCTCCCTGTAGAATCTCAGCTGTGAACTGGAGAGTGCCACCATCCAGAAGCAAAGGAAGGAACTACAGCTCTTAATCGCAGAGCTAAAAGACCGTGACAAGGAGCTCAACGGCATGGTTGCCGTCCATCAGAGGCAGTTACTGGCTTGGGAGGATGATCGCCAGAAAATACTGACATTGGCGGAGCGGTGCAGCAAGCTGGAGGGTAGGTTCCAGACCAAGTGCAGCCCGAGGAATTAAGCTGGTGTGTTAGAATATTTATACCCATGTTGTGGAAGGGAGAGTTGAGTCTGACTTTGACTTGTCAAAGGTGAACTTAGTGAGAGCAGATTTAAGATAAGATTTCTCAATCAACAGCTATGCCAACAAACATCTGTTTTGGATACAAACAGACCTGGTACCTTTGGTGGAAAGGATCCGGTAGCAGGTGACAAGAGAGATCCTATAGAACTATTGTTGTCATTTTGTGGCAGGTTGTAATAACAAAGTGATCAAATGGCCTGACACTGTTTAATATGTTCCGCCTTCTACCTTTTAGGAGTTTTTGCTCTACAAGTATTAATTCGAGGCTTAAGATGCTATATTATAAGTGATGCCATATTTAAAGCACAAGATTGCACCTCTTTTTGTATCAGAGCTTGGAAGTAACTAATTAATAATGTTGTTGCATGTCTCTAGTTCCTTTCTGCATTGTGAGTGTATAACTAGGATCTCCGAAGTTCCTCTTTTGGATATAATGAGTCATGCATCGTTTCTTTCAAAAGTTACTTTTCATGGTTGCCTTAAAACATTTTTCAAAGCCTTTTGACAGGTATTTTTCAGATTTTATGCCATTCTGTTGCCAATCCTAAATGGGGAAGAAAGTATTCATTAGTTTTCTATCTTGTATTTTTATAAATAATTTGAAGGTGTATTATATTGGAGTTGGCCACTAGAGACAGTATAGTACGTCTTTATATTTTTCTGTCTTATTGGTAATGACAGTAAAACAAGGAATTACTTGCACAATGGGAGCATAATAGTAACATCCTGGCTATTGAGAAATAATGAATAATATTGTGAGTTCCTGTTGTAAGCTCTTTCTTACATATATCTTCGATTGTTTATTGGAACTTCAGAAGTAATGTGAGTTATCAGGCAAGGGCATAAAGCCACTATTGGCCCAGTCCCGTCAAGGCTGACAACAGAGTGAAGGTTTCATCAGAACTGGAGCACCATGGAAATGTTAGAATGTTTTGCATGACAGAAAACATCTAGAACCTTTCAAAGTGATGCTGTAAACAACAGTGACATAGACTAGACAGCTTCCTAAGAAGAACCTTATTATATAAACTGGATTATTTTATACTTTTTAGGAAAAAGGTTACCTGCTGCAGTACTGGGGGGAAATTATATTCTTATTATATTTATATAAAACATTTAAACCAAAAATAAAGATCTACTGAGGACTCCTTCCAGACTTCCAAATTATGCAGTTTAAGGAAGAAACATGACAGGTAAAATAATGTAGTCGACTGCTTTAGAGTTACTCTTGGTTATGCATTGGTTTTTAAAATTAAAATGTCTCCCAACCGACCTGTTTGTATCAGCTAAAACTCTGCTTAGTGTGATTCTTATCCTTCACATATTTTTATATCTGATTTCTTTCCTCAGATGAGCTGCACAAGAGAAATGAAATGATAAAAACCTTGACCAAACGGTTGAAATTCCTTGATTCCCAGCAGAGTGATTGTAAGCTGACCCTCGAGAATACCCACCAGAAACTCCAGGAGCTCTCTAGGAAAGCGTCTGACACATCACACCACTGCCAAGCCCTTGAGGTAGGCCTAGATTTATAGTTGACTCAGGATGTCTTATCTGGAGGTGAAACACACCGCCGAGTGAAATCGACTAGCGAGGGTGTAAACTAGGCCCAGCACAGCAATTTTCAGGTATTGGAGGAGTGGACCTTTGTAAAGGATCATCTTAGTGGGACCCCCTTTTCTTGAATGTCACCACCTCTTCCCTATTGTGGCTACTGCTTTTTTGCTTGTCTTCTCTTTTGGGTTTATTTCTTCCTGGACAAATTAGGAAAAGCCTGTGTGGTTCAGGATAACACAATTGGAAGAGTTAGGTGATAACTTCATTGAACCACGAACGCTTGCAATTTGTCCGTTTTTGTTTTGTTTTGTTTTTTGTTTTAGTGATTTAATAATGGTATCACCTAACTATTTCATTTCTTCCTGGACGTATTCCTTTTTGCTGTGCTAAACTTGGAAGCAGAGAGAATATGGGTCAGTTCCAGCATATTAATATGATGAATGGTGAGAAACAGGGAGAGACAGAGAGAGAGAGAGAGGTGACACCACCAGTTCAGTAATGAACAGTGAGTACAATAGAGGATTGACGGGCTCATCAGCTCTTTTCCTGTCTAGCAGATTACAATTTCTGCTTGTGTTGCCTGTCAAACTTGATGTACAAAGGGGTTGTTCTGGCACATCTCCACTGACACGTGTGGGAGAGGATTGTGATGTGTTTTTTTCCAAATTGTTCATAAACCGAATGAGAAGGGATGCAGACCGTAGGATGGCTTTGTGTACGTGGGACATGACAGGGCTTCAAATGAAAAAGATACAGAGGGATTGGACTCTGGTGGATCCTTTTACATTTTCCTCTCTTTCCCAGGAGAAAAACCAGGCCCTTAGCCACTCTGTGATGGAACTGTCTAATAAAGTAGGGCAGCTGCAAGCCAGAGAACAGGAGCTGCTCACCATGCTAAAGCTAAAGGTAGTTTTCCTTTTTTCTTGGTTTCCCTCTCTCCAACATGTGGGTGCATATACATCTGACCATTTCAGAGTCCAGAGTGACACAAGGAGTGGGGGGTCAGTATTAAGTAAAGATGGGGAGTGGTGTTTAAAGGATAAATAAGGAGTCAAACCCCTGTCCCTTAATGGGATGAAGTGAGAGACCACTGGTAATGGTGTGGCTAAAAAAATCTTGTAAATAAATAAATCAATAAATGAAGGCTGTTGCATGTTGAACTAATGGTCTGCTTTTCAAAAAGTGAGTCTTGTTTTCAGAATTTACCAGGCAGATTGAAAGACACCACAGTGGAACAGTACGAGGCAAATCAATAGAGAACTGTTATTGTTTGTCTGTTTTTGCTTAGGATAATGATATACTTGAAGCAAGCAATCACATTACTGAATTTACGTGTAAATTTAAAAAGTTGGAAAGAGCACTGCAAGCTTCAAAAGTGGAAAACGCAAGCGTCCAAAGGGAAAAGCAGGATTTTAAACTTAAGCTGAAGGAACTTATTCTAGAAACAAACAAATTAAAAGGTAAACCATGGTTAGAATTTAGTGCCCATAATCTTAAACCTGAGTTGGGGAAGGTCTGTGTTCTCATTTGCATTTCCTGTAGCCAAACAGAGAGAACTGTCCGTTAATTAGATACTTTACAATTGATTTACTGACATTTAAAGATGGTTGGTTAAAGTACATAAAATCCAGACTTTAAGAAAGGTGCCCTTTTCAGATGTTGGAGGGAATAGGAAAGAACTTAAACTCTCTTTCCTTTTGGAAGGGAAATGCCATCTGTAGCAATTTCTGTTTCACTCCTTAGTGTGTGAATCCATCAGAACCAAAGCGTACACATAATTTATCGTCCCGACAACGATATATAAAAATGCCTACTGAGCGCTCAAGTGTCCGTATGAGAGGTTTAGTCTCGGTAATCTTTTTTTTCCCCTTTGAAGGTGATCTCAGTGAAAAAACAAAAGAAAACAATGAACAGAGGGAAGAAATAATACGCCTCAAACAAGAAAATGGTTATTTGAGTAATGAATTGATGCTTAGTGGTGAGTAGAAAGAAACAGAACTTTTGGTTCAGGCTTTTGGTAGGAAGTTACCATGTATCACATTTCTAAACCTCTCGATTTACTTAGCATTACAGCTTTTCTTTTAAATTTGAGCTGTTGGGAATAGCTTAGAAGTTTACTCAAACTAGCCTTGACATTATCTGGATGAAGCATTTATTCTTGCAGGAGTCCTGGGTTTGTCCACGATGGTTTCGGTATTTTTCCTGCCCTCCAGGTGACACAAACTGTGATCCAGCATCATCAGTGCTTTTTGTTTGTGCGTTTCCACAGTTTTTTTGTTTTTGCAGCAGGCAGTGGTGTTTTTTTTTTCATTCTTGGAGTAGAGATTAGCTCAGGGGTGCTTTTCCATGTAATTCATTTCTGTGTAAGAGGCTCCCAGCAAGAAGCTTTTAATTACCATGGAAAATAGAAAGAAATTTCTACAAGTGGATTTCCACCAGAAAAGCGGGTTGCGACCAAGAGGAGCACAGATACCATACAAGTAGTCTTGGGGGACCCCGTTTCACTCCTTGAGCTAGACAATTCTCTCTGATTTGCATATTTTCACAAGGACTGTTGACAACATTCTGGTCCATAGGATTAAGACATTTTATTTATTTGACCCCTATGTGCAAATCCTTTTCCATGCATTGTGCATATTTATGGTTTTCTATCCTCTTAAAAGCTTTAAGGTACTAAACATACCCATGACTAAAATTACTAGATATCTCTTAAGAAAAAAAATCTGGTGGACTTTAAAAAAAACCCTAATAATTTCAGGACACGCTGTTAGTTCATCCCTTTATTAATGAGATGTGCTTACTGCAAAACTCTGATAAGTTTGATCATCTAACTTAGCTGGCCAGTCACAGACCTAAATGAATCATATCTTCAAAATGCCATTAATAAAATTTCTGCCTGTTTATGTTTGGAGTGAGAGATTGATGCTTTATGCGTCTCTTGAATGACTGATGGTTAGCAGTCTTGCAAATTAAAAAAATGACATTAGCTAGTTTTATGTTGATGCTTATTTTATGGTTGTGGCTTCTGTATTGTTTCTCTGTTTTGATTTATTTTTTCTTCCCACCTCCCCGATCAGCTGAGAGAGCAAACAGAAAAGACCAGCTTCTTCAGTCTGCCAAATCTAAACAACTCCGAACTGACACAGAACTGAGCAATTTGCGACAGGTTTGACTCCTTCGAAGTGTTTTGTGCAGGGTGGGGTCAGGGAAGAGGATTTGCATATTTGCTTTCACCTGTAGCATTGCAACCTGATATGGAACAGAACCAAAGGTGAGCAGAGTCGGCTTTCAGAGGGCTGAGTATCCTTGAGGAGCGGATGTTCAGTTCTGAGGTTCGGTCTTGGAACCTTCCTTACCCAAAGGTTCTATGGATGTCTTCAACATCTGTGGATAATTAAAGAGTAAAGTGTGCATGAGAGAGCAGGATGTAGATGTTAGAAAAAGGATGGTATGCCCCAGCCCATGCAGGCTTTTCCAGTCTTGCCATATAATGACTCTTCAAAGCTTCTGCACCCCAGTTTGTTCTATTTACTCTGTCCTCCTTTGTTCCCGAGCTGCACAGCTAATGTGTATATTTGGGGTGGGGGTGGCAGAGGAAGAGGAGGAACCTTGTAGAAGTAGTGGGAAGAAGCAGAGGAAGATAGATGCTGAGTCAGACCATTGGTTCACTCTGCTGACTCTGACTAGCAGCAGAGTTTGTAGCAGGATTCTTCCCTTGCCTTTGTTAAAGATGCAAGGACTAGAACCCTGTGCATGAAAGGCAAATGATTCTGGTTCCTTCTAAGAAACTGTCTGGATGCAAATCTCCCTCCCTCCCTCTCTCTCCCTTTTGTTTTAGTCCTCTCAGCAAAAACAATAAAGAGTTTAATGTAACCTTAAAAGAAAATAGATAAATAAAACTTGTTACTTTTAAAAGTATGATTAGATGCTTTGTTTGGGTTCTTTTACAATAATGATTGTTTATGCTTTGAATGTATTGCTTTTTAAATTCTTGCAAGCCCCTTTGTCCATGGATAGAAAAGCGGTGCAAAAATAATATATGAAACGCTTCTGTTTGCAAGTTATTCTACCATCTGCCCTCAGATCTACATGAAGCAGCAACAGGATCTGCAGTTTCTGCATTTCAACTTGGAAAGTTCCCAGGAAACGAAGCAGATGCGCAAGAGAGAGACGCATGAAGCGAGGTAAGCACAGCAAAGGGCCTTCCTGTGGGGCGTTGTCATTTCAAGGGGACTTACACAAGAGCACACAGCCAGAACTAAAACATGTTTTCTGATCACCATCACCTTGGATGTTTGGGCCATGCACGGTGAGTCTGGCATCAAGTTTCTGGGAACCTGGAACAGCAAAGTGCATGGGATTCTTCCAACCCCATATATAGTAGGTACAAAAAGCAAACGCAAAGATATGAGCACTCATTAAAAGACAGAGCTAGTAATATAGATACAAATACAATAATCCATTATTGCGCTGCTGGCAGAGGTGGAATCAGAGCTTGACAAATGCTCACAGAATCCCTGAGTCATCAAGGACAGTGACCTTGTTGGTTGAAGAATTCTGGCAGCTGTAATTCCCCCCCCCCCAAAAAAAAACAAACCCCAAAATTTTCTCCCATCCAATGATTCCCAGCTGTGATTCCCCTCCCTGCCCCAGTTCTGCTCAACCATGGGAATTCTTCCATGTATTATGTGACCACGCACCTGTAGCATCAGTGCTGCAGTGCACAACTGGGAACACCACTGAAGGGGCCGGAGCCTTTCCTCCAGGCCACTGCGCTGGAATAATGAAGCCAGCTGTAAACACTGCAGAGGCTCTGCTGGTTGCAGTCCGCCGAAGGAACGTATTTGTGTAGCCCGCGATAGAGGGGTCACGACAAATGCAGCTGAGAGCTTGTTCCCCTGAGTGCGGTCTGACTTGTTCTGTCTGTACTGAGAGCCACTAGTTTGTGAGGTTGTAGTGATGCCCTTAATTTACACAGAGGCAGTAAAATATCTTAGTTAGGAGTAACCGGTTAAGTGGACAGAGAAATAAGCTGAAATTTCAGACCAGTCTATTCAATGGTGGAAGAAAAATCTTGCTTAAAGCATGTTTCAGTGAAGTTGATAACAGAGCCAATCTTGCAGATCCCATAGGTGAGAAAGCAAACAAAGCTTGACTCTTCAGAAAACCAAAAGCTAGCAGTTCCCAAGTCAAGTCTGTCTAGCAGCACGTAAATTGTGTAGGTCCACTGAAAGGCATCAAACAAAGGTAGGGGAGAACATGACAATCCTAATATTAGTAAAGCTGGAGATTAATTGTAGAACATGCGTAAAGCCTAGAGAAACTAAATGGGCAGTCTTGTGTACAGGCTTCAGTGGATGATGGATGTCCAGGGTGGACTAAAGTAGGAAGGATGGAAGTGGGGAGTAATGACCCAATGCAGGGATCGTTTATAAGTTTTAGTTGCGAAGTTAATTCTTGATAATGCAAGTTCCTTATTGTGCTGTTTATAGCAGAGGGATGGTTTTGTCAGACCTCGAGAACAGCAACGACAAAGAAACAGCCTGTAGCGAAATCAGCCAGAAGACACACACCCGGTTTGTCTATGTGCCCCGCTGTAGTTCGAAAAACACCTGCCAGGTGTGCAGAGCGGAGAGTAGGCAGCCAGCGGACCCAAAGGAGAGGTGCTCAGTGAGTTTGGATCAGTTTCAGGAAGGGCCGCTTCGTGAGCCAAGCACTCTGCACAACGAAGAGTCAAAGCAGAGTGGCTCCCTCAGCACTGGGGAGACAGACAGCAGACCAGCCTCCCAGCTGGAGAACGCCTGGAAGACCGAAGGCAGGGAAATGGCTCGGGGGTTGGAATCAAACCCCGTGGCCTCTTTACCAATCCATGAACATTGGATTGAACTGAATTCCTCCGCGGAGCCCTCAAACTGCGAGGGAGACGGTAGACATTGGGAGACAGGGGCCACTGGGATTCCGTGCGGGCAGTGCCCCAGCACACCTCCGTGCAGTTCTGTCCCATCGTTAGAATGCTGCTCCTGCAACCCCATCAGCAAAGCTTTAGTCTACCGGCCAGTGAGTGACCAGGAATGGATGGAGATTTTCAAGCCTGTGAATGAAGGCGGTTCGCGGGAAAGAGCTTTGTCCGACAGCCCTCAGGCCTCCGATGGAATTAAAAGTGACCAGTCTAAAAGGTTCAGTATTTAAGAACAGCTCTGCTATTAGCTATAGTTGCCCAACTTGAACAAAAAAACATAAAGCAAGAACAAGCAACCCGGTGGCTATTTGTAACTTTGCGTTTCCATACTTTAAAATCGATACAGAGTTTTAAAAGAGACAAACTATGTTTTGTTAAATGTCGAGGCAAAGGGTTGCTGGGCTGGGTTTGATGCTGTATGCGTTAGATTAGGAATAATTAGGTTCCAACCAGAGGTAAGACAGCTGAGGTATGAGATTTTCAAGAGTTTCCCCGTATGTTTTTGTCAGCTGTCTTTTTCAAGGGATCCTCCTCTGAGTGGAGAAAAAAAAGAGAGAAGCTGACTTCCCTGTGTAGAAGCGGGGGGAAAATGTATTCTTTGGTTCATTCTCAAAAAAGTTGCATGTTTCTTCCAGGTGTGAATTCCCACTGGCACAAGATCGCTCTGCAAAGTCAGGCATCGGCAGCTGCCTTGTGCAAGTTAGGAGCCTAAAGCTGAATGTTGTCTAGTCTGTGCAGAGTTCCTCGGGACCTTTCCTCTTTCAAGTAGAGGCGCTGGGGGTGGAATATGTCATCTCTGCCTTCGAAGCAGGGGCTTTATCCCAGGGTACTTCTACTTGCTCTGCTTCGGACTCGAGGATAGGGCTCCCACTGTGGATTTCAGGGGCCCATGCTCTGAATGTGGCTCTTCATAAATTGTGGCTTGAGTTATGGGGAGAAGGCTCTGTCCCCCCCCCCATGAAAGTCACCTCCCCCGGCAACCTTTTACAAACAGGTGTTTGGGGACTGAATTTTAGTGCTGTTCAATGTGCCTATTGCAGCCATGCCCCATTGCTCTAATTTTAGCATTGTTAGAGCCATTGCAAACATACCCTTTTAAAAATAGCACCAGCTTCATGGACGTGATAGCTGTTACCCATGGATTCTGATGGAATTTTTGTATGCACGGACGTCTGAGGGACCCTGCTTTGGGGAAAGCAGACAAATGCCGGAAAGCAGAGAGTGGAAACAGAAAGCGATTGAGCCCTGAGCTAGTCAAACAGCTGCTTCCAAGGGCATGAGCTTTAAGATGGAATGTGGTTCTGGAGCAGGTCCCATCCTGCTTACCTTGGAATCCATAAACAGTCTTCCTGGCTTAGTGCACCAGCTGTTAAATACATTTTACCGCTTTCTTTTAAGAGTACATAACCAGATCAAGTTTCTGTAGGCCTATTGTCGCCTTTACTGCTTAAAAAGAGGTGGAAAGCAGTAAAGCATGTAGTAGGTGGCATGGTTCAGGATCCCCGTTATACAGGGGACATTCCCAGGTCTTGATTTTTAATACGAATCCCCTCAGTGGACTTTCTCATTCAGTTGCATCCACTTTATGGAGACTCCTAAGTATGGTTTTCAAGATAGAGAAAGCAAACAAAGCTTGACTCTTCAGAAAACCAAAAGCTAGCAGTTCCCAAGTCAAGTCTGTCTAGCAGCACGTAAATTGTGTAGGTCCACTGAAAGGCATCAAACAAAGGTAGGGGAGAACATGACAATCCTAATATTAGTAAAGCTGGAGATTAATTGTAGAACATGCGTAAAGCCTAGAGAAACTAAATGGGCAGTCTTGTGTACAGGCTTCAGTGGATGATGGATGTCCAGGGTGGACTAAAGTAGGAAGGATGGAAGTGGGGAGTAATGACCCAATGCAGGGATCGTTTATAAGTTTTAGTTGCGAAGTTAATTCTTGATAATGCAAGTTCCTTATTGTGCTGTTTATAGCAGAGGGATGGTTTTGTCAGACCTCGAGAACAGCAACGACAAAGAAACAGCCTGTAGCGAAATCAGCCAGAAGACACACACCCGGTTTGTCTATGTGCCCCGCTGTAGTTCGAAAAACACCTGCCAGGTGTGCAGAGCGGAGAGTAGGCAGCCAGCGGACCCAAAGGAGAGGAGCTCAGTGAGTTTGGATCAGTTTAAGGAAGGGCCGCTTCGTGAGCCCAGCACTCTGCACAAGCACAACGAAGAGTCAAAGCAGAGTGGCTCCCTCAGCACTGGGGAGACAGACAGCAGACCAGCCTCCCAGCTGGAGAACGCCTGGAAGACCGAAGGCAGGGAAATGGCTCGGGGGTTGGAATCAAACCCCGTGGCCTCTTTACCAATCCATGAACATTGGATTGAACTGAATTCCTCCACGGAGCCCTCAAACTGCGAGGGAGACGGTAGACATTGGGAGACAGGGGCCGATGGGATTCCGTGCGGGCAGTGTCCCAGCACACCTCCGTGCGGTTCTGTCCCATCCTTAGAATGCTGCTCCTGCAGCCCCGTCAGCAAAGCTTTAGTCTACCGGCCAGTGAGCGACCAGGAATGGATGGAGATTTTCAAGCCTGTGAATGAAGGCGGTTCGCGGGAAAGAGCTTTGTCCGACAGCCCTCAGGCCTCCGATGGAATTAAAAGTGACCAGTCTAAAAGGTTCAGTATTTAAGAACAGCTCTGCTATTAGCTATAGTTGCCCAACTTGAACAAAAAAACATAAAGCAAGAACAAGCAACCCGGTGGCTATTTGTAACTTTGCGTTTCCATACTTTAAAATCGATACAGAGTTTTAAAAGAGACAAACTATGTTTTGTTAAATGTCGAGGCAAAGGGTTGCTGAGCTGGGTTTGATGCTGTATGCGTTAGATTAGGAATAATTAGGTTCCAACCAGAGGTAAGACAGCTGAGGTATGAGATTTTCAAGAGTTTCCCCGTATGTTTTTGTCAGCTGTCTTTTTCAAGGGATCCTCCTCTGAGTGGAGAAAAAAAAGAGAGAAGCTGACTTCCCTGTGTAGAAGCAGACATTTGGTTCATCTTTGGTTCATTCTCAAAAAAGTTGCATGTTTCTTCCAGGTGTGAATTCCCACTGGCACAAGATCGCTCTGCAAAGTCAGGCATCGGCAGCTGCCTTGTGCAAGTTAGGAGCCTAAAGCTGAATGTTGTCTAGTCTGTGCAGAGTTCCTCGGGACCTTTCCTCTTTCAAGTAGAGGCGCTGGGGGTGGAATATGTCATCTCTGCCTTCGAAGCAGGGGCTTTATCCCAGAGTTCTTCTACTTGCTCTGCTTTGGACTTGAGGATAGGGCTCCCACTGTGGATTTCAGGGGCCCATGCTCTGAATGTGGGTCTTCATAAATCATGGCTTGAGTTATGGGGAGAAGCCCCTTCCTGGGCTCTGTCCCCCATGAAAGTCACCTCCCCCGGCAACCTTTTACAAACAGGTGTTTGGGGACTGAATTTTAGTGCTGTTCACATGTGCCTATTGCAGCCATGCCCCATTGCACTAATTTTAGCATTGTTAGAGCCATTGCTAACATCCCCTTTTAAAAATAGCACCAGCTTCATGGACGTGATAGCTGTTACCCATGGATTCTGATGGAATTTTTGTATGCACGGACGTCTGAGGGACCCTGCTTTGGGGAAAGCAGACAAATGCCGGAAAGCAGAGAGTGGAAACAGAAAGCGATTGAGCCCTGAGCTAGTCAAACAGCTGCTTCCAAGGGCATGAGCTTTAAGATGGAATGTGGTTCTGGAGCAGGTCCCATCCTGCTTACCTTGGAATCCATAAACAGTCTTCCTGGCTTAGTGCACCAGCTGTTAAATACATTTTACCACTTTCTTTTAAGAGTACATAACCAGATCAAGTTTCTGTAGGCCTATTGTCGCCTTTACTGCTTAAAAAGAGGTGGAAAGCAGTAAAGCATGTAGTAGGTGGCATGGTTCAGGATCCCCGTTATACAGGGGACATTCCCAGGTCTTGATTTTTAATACGAATCCCCTCAGTAGACTTTCTCATTCAGTTGCATCCACTTTATGGAGACTCCTAAGTATGGTTTTCAAGATACGCATTTGAAACTGTTTCAAGGGTGATCCCAAAAGGAGATATTTGTCCATTTCTACACAGGAATGTGCTTCTGGGTGGACAATCCCCCTGCTGACCCGCACTGCCACAGCGTTTCTGTTTTCCTGTGCTCACAACGGGATCCCTTGAAAAAGGCAGCTGACAAAAACACATGGGAAGATTTATTCCTCATTTCCCATTGCCGTCCTCACCAGCTCCACTTCAGGCAACAAAATAAGTTGAGACAGCACCTATCAGAGCCCTTAGCAGTGCATCGCAGTCGGGGTTTGGTCCGTTATAATCACTGATATGGCATTAAGGAGGTCAGAAGACCATCTCTGATGCCATTTGAAATCTTGCTGGATTTGGGGCAGTAAAGAAGTCCCGTCTTTCCTGTATTATTCCGTCTGTGTTAGGGGGAATCATGATCATTGCTGCTTCCTTGGTGAGGAAAAAGAACCCTACAGGCTTTGGAGCTTTTTCTTTTATTCTGCCACATGTTAAATGGTGGGTTCCTTCCTGCACAGTTCTAGCCCAGATACAAGGCCTAGGTGAATTTTGCAAGGGCTTCCCTCACCCAGAGGGGACATTTCTTTCCCAGACAACTCTAACTTGCTCTTCAATCTTTATCTCTTGTGCTCTGTATGTGAGTGAGAGAGAGAGGAAAAAAGAGAGAGGGAAGCAGCGATGTCTTTGGACTACTGAGAGAGAGGGCTAGTTAGCTGTATCATGAGACAGAGAGAGAGAGGTCTCTCTTTTGGCTTTGTTAGCCTTTGGTAACCATTGACAACCACTGCCCCAACTCAGCTGTGGAAGTGCCATGAGCGATCACCTCCTGATACAGTATTCAGGGGGTTAATCTCTGTTCTGGGCCTTCTGATCATGAGGGTAACAGTTTTCCTGTTGCACCCACACAGTTCTAACAGCTCCCCTCTGATGTTAATCTAGGCTCAATTGAGTCTCAGAAAACAAAAGACCCATAGCCGTCTCTCTGTTGGATTGATAAGTTGATTTTAAAAACTGCAACAGCGTTGGTCATTTTGGAATGCAAAGCTAGACTTGGACCAGCTTCATATGCGACTGGGTATTTTTTCCCCATTTGTGCTAAGTATTTAAAGTTTTGAAATGTTATATTCTGCTACAACCCAAGCTCCTAAAATTGTTGCATTCAAAAGGACTAGGAACTTGCTTTTAAAAGAGAAGCTTAAAGCTAAAGAGTATTTTGTTTGGGAATAACTGCTTTGTGGGGCCCACAGGTCCTTTCCCGCTCTCCTCTTCCTGTGTTTAAACTTGGCCCATTCACCAGGTGTACAGTATGGCGCTGTACTAAACATTTTTGTGTGTGCGTGCATGTATATATACTTTTAAACTGTTGTTGTAGATGTGTTTTTCTCAAGAAATCTTTCTTTAAAAACTCAGCAGTGACCATGACATAGGTCTGAATGTTTTGGATTTGGGTACTCCCCGTCTGACTTCAACCCAAAAAACAAGCGAGCCTCAGAGACATGAAAGGATCTTGGATACAGGATCCCCTTTGGAACTCACAAGCTTCACAGACCATCATGCGGACGACCAGCATTGCCACCCTCTTGTCCATCATGTAAGAGCTTCAAGCATTTGGTGTTACAAGTCAGAGTCTTTTCTCAGGAGGCCTGGGTCTGGCGGTCCTCCCGGTTCAACCCCATCCCTCCTCTGGTTAGGATACTGGAAGCTGTTTCGTACCAAGAAAGGCCATAGGCCAGACCTGGCCCTATGTGGCCATCCTTGACTGAGAGCAGCTGTCTGGGGTGTCAGGTAGGATGCTTCCCTAGCCCTACCTGGAGATGCTGGGGATTGAACCCGGGACTATTTGCATGCAAAGCAGGTGCTTTTCCATGGCACGTTGGCTTTTCCCCGTGTCAGTAGCCCTTGCACCCTGGTTCAGATCCTTCAGGAGTCTTTACCACCGTGAACTTGTCCAGTGACTCCTTGGTGTTGCTGCCGACCTCCGTCAGCCCAACTGTTTTCCTGGGTCCAGAGTGTAAAAGGGGGAGATGTTACACCTTCTGATGCCATGTGCAAGTCATCTTTGCTGATTGCTTCCCTGCTTATTTATTTAATGGATTTATAACCTACCTTCCCGTGCCTCAAAATGGGACTCCCAGTAGTTCAGTAATAGTCATTAAAACAAGGACACCCTTAAAACAAAACAAGATCAGTGATTAAAACAGCGGGCAGTTATAAGCACAGTTTAATTATCCTTACGTACAAGTTCAGATTTCACCTTTGGATCAGAATGTGGGTCTTGGGGCTTCCTTCTCCTCTGGTTTTGGTCTTGCTTTGGGCCCTGTGTTCCTGACCCAAATCTTTGACCTCCTTTACTTATATTCTCACTGCAGCCTTTTCCATCCAAAATATACCCAATCCTTTCAGTGGAGGCACGCAGGCCTTCCCCAGCGAGCCCGTCACAGGCTATGGTTTTCACTGGACCCTTCTCGCTTCTCCCATTTCCCTCACACGCTTTGTTCTGCTTCCCTCCTAGGATTCCACCTCACCCACGAGTCAGCTGCAGCGGCTGCTGGCAGAGTCGCGGCAGATGGTAGCAGACCTGGAGCTCAGCAGCCTGCTTGGTGCCAGCCCGTGCTGCAGTCCCAGCTGCAGCCATCCCACGGTGTGCCCGGGCTTTTGATGAAGGACAATTGATCTCCCTCTTTCTCTTTCTTCCTGTCTTTTAAGAATAGAGGCAGGCACCTGTGAGCCTCCATAGGTTATCAGTAGCTCCCATGAGCCAGCATGGCCACTGGTGAGGAATTATGGGAACTGTAGTCCAGCCACACCTAGAATGTTCAGGTTGCCCATAGTAGTGACCACTCCGGCTCATGTTGTTTCTGACTTGCTAAGTTTGTTAGCTGACAGGAAAGCTCAGAGCTTTAGGTATCTGGCTACAGAGCTTAGCAAACCCTGGGAAGGGTTGCTATAAGTTGGAATCAACTTGATGCTTTAGGTACCTGGCTACAGAGCCTAGCAAACCCTGGGGAGGGTTGCTATAAGTTGGAATCAACTTGACGGCATACAGTTTTTATTATTATTAGGTTTGTATATTGCCTTTCTGCCAAAGGCATTGAAGAATGCTCTTACAGCTTACAATAGTGGCTTACAATTAAAGACACAAGGACACAGAAGACAGAGAAAAGAGGGAAATAAGCCCAATAGGGTGTCGCTTGCTTCATACTGCTCCAGTACAAAGTTACGAAATGACAGGGTGGAATGGTCACTGATGACAGCCTCTCTGGGAAGGGAGAAGCCAAGTAGAGGTTTGTCAAACCCCAGGGAGACGTGGCTGCTGACGGGGTGCTTGCCTTTTCTCTGTTCTTCTCCACAGAAATTCTGGCTTTCGAAAAACTCTTAGGGGTTGATGTGGGAAGGTCTCATGCTAGTTGCATGTTGCAGATGAGCAGAGTATGAGTCCTTATAGCTGATTTTTTTATCTCACTTCATTTCTTGTAAATGCACAATTTTAAATTGTTTATTTTTACACCATTCTTTTTTTAATCGGGATGTATCTGTGTTTACATCCTGGACAGGTCATGGACTGTACTGAAGCCCTGTGCAAAATAAAATTGCCAGCTGTAGGAGAAAGTGAGACAAAGCTTTCTCTTTTTAATTTATGACCTCAGGTGAGCCTTCCTACCTTGTCCGTCCATGTTTGTTTCCTATCAGAAATGTGCTGGGAAAATTTAAATATGTACAGACGATTTTCTGCAGGTATAAAGCTCAGGTATGTTTGCAAAATAATACATTTTGAGACCACATCTATAAAAGCGATGTCCAAAATAGCTATTGTTACATTTTGTACATATCTGCTCTTGCTTGGTGTGTGGGTGGGTGCTGAAAAGTCATGGTGCAGTGTCTGGGGGTGGGAGACAGGGTCCACCCCTTAGCCCCCCTTCCACACACCTGTTGCACCCAAGCGGTTCTCCGCCCCAGCCCTTGTGCTTTGCCACAGCACAGGCTGGAGTTTCAGGAGAGGTTAGGAAAAATGTGAGAGAAATGATAAAAATGTGAGGCTGAGCCTTCGGCATCTCTGGCATGCCCCACGGCTTGTAAATCCTGACGATCCTGCTGAAGGCAGTGGAGGAGACGCAATGTTTTTGTCCACACGGAAACTCCTAAGGCGAGAACTGTTTGTGGAGCAATGGAAATTAAAGTCTCCGGCTGACACAAAGGCAGCTTTGAGGGAGACAGTTCATCCCACGAAGTAAACATATTTTGTAAAAAAAAAAAATTCTTCTGCCATCCCTGAAGTTTATACTAGCCGGGTTTTTCCATGTGTGACAAACAGACTGGTCATAAAACAACTCCCTTGAAACTTAATTACAGTATGAAGTTTCAATACGTTTTGCTTAATTTAAACTTGTTTCTTTTTCTTTTAAAACCAGCTGTCTCATGTTTCGTGTGCCAAGAGCAAAGAAAACATGTACGTCATCTCTTGAAGACGGACATTCATGGTGAGGTATAAATTCAACGGATGATCACCCAGCATTATCCTCATATAAGTCTTGAAAAACTTGTAAGTGCCAAAGACCTATGGCTAAATGCTGGGAGTTAGTCCCTATCTATATACATACACGAGTTTTTTTAAAGTAGAATTATGCTAACATGAATTTTAAAAACTACTGTGATACAAATTAAACGAAAACATTATTTATGACCAAATTAACTGAATTTTTGAAAGATGGTTTAAAACTAATTGATAATTCAAAGGAAAAAAAATCAGAAATATATTTTCTTGGCCTTCTTTGATGAGAATATTTTGCATCTACACTGCAAAACTAAATTTTCAGTATCTCTTCATGAGTATTCAGCATCTTTTAACTGCTAGATGTGTGAATTCCTTCCATTATTTATAAAGTATTTCTGATAGGTAGTCACAGAAAGGAGTCATTGACCTTTCTCATCTCATGCCTTCCAGATGCTTTCAGTTACAACTCCCATGTCCCCACAGGGGGCAACCGAATCCAAGAAATTAAATTTGCACTGCTCTCAAGATGCAAAAAATGAGAGCTTCCCCTCTCTGTCTTGAGGTCCGTCCCCCCCCCCTCCCCGCGGTCACCAAATGCTGATGTTCCCCTTGTCCATCGAATCTTCTTTGCCTCTGCTTGCCGTTAAGAGAGCTGTAGCAGCGCTGGTAGTGGTTGCAGTGATGATGTGTTGGTCCGCGTCAGAAGCCTCCCAAGGTGTTTTGTGTGCTTCAACTGGCTAGGAACAGGGGTGTGCTTTTGGAAACGCTACCCATAAGGCGAAGGCCCGGCCAGCTGCCTTGTATTGACAGACTGTGGTGTTATTCAAGGGAAACAAAGCTTCCATTTATTTTCTGCTTGCCTTCAGCTTGGGTGTGTAGGCTTCCCACACTCTTTTTTTAATTAGAGGGTCAAGACACAAAAAGGGAGGGAAAGCAGTAGAAACACAGCCTTTCCCTTTCATAGACTCCGAGACCTGGAGGGGTGCCCTGTAGTGTGTTAAAGGCAAAGCAAAGCAAAGCGTGCTGCTTTGCTCCTTGCTCAGCGTTAGCAATCCAGAACTAGGGTGATCCTCAGCCTTTGCATGAAGATTTTTAGAGAAGGAAAAACGACCGCTGTTCTAGGTAACAGGTTCCACGGTCAGCCTGCTCTTACGGTGGTCAAGACGTGTGCCTCTTGGTGCCCCACTCCCTCGGGGCCACCAGATCTATTAGAAGCAACCTGTCACGGATTGGTTGCCTCTCTCGGTTCCTTTTCTTCAAGGTCAGCGGGCCCAGATCCTTCACGCCTCCCTCCCAGGACTTGGCTTCCAAGCCCCTCTGATCATCGCCACTGCTGGCACATGACCCTATGTTCCAGTCTGTCTGTTCCATAATATCCTCGTTAGTCTCTAAGGCAGAGGTGGGTGGAGCGCAGGCCTCTACATAATCTGAAAACTACCATCAGCATAATCAGCATAATTCATTCAGAGGAAGGCTGGGGGTTGATAGACTAAACTTGGCCCATGCGATTGGTCTATAATTTTTGCCCTGTGCTGTGGCCAGACGAGTTCTGTCCTGTCTCTTGATGACAGGATAGGGAACCAGTAAGACCTCTTGATGTAACTCGTCACTTAAAAGTTTACCCATTCCATCCTACACAAAGTCTTGTGGAGCCCGTGCGCACTGTGTGTAAACCACCAGAGAGAATGGCTTGGTCCCGGTGTGAGCCTTGGGGTCCACAGCATTTCTCGCGACTCCACCAGCTCCTTCTGGCAGGCCCCCATTATTGGCAGCACTCAGAAAGGGCTGGAGTGACTTTTTAAATACAGCCAAAGCCTCTTACTTGGACCTTTCTGGTTAAGCTCATTGAGCCTTTTAAAGTTGGGATCGGATGATTGTAACTTCAAAGCGGCAAGCAGCTCCTACTGAAATCAAGCAGATTTGGGATTATGTTGCAAATATATACAGTATATATTTTATTTCCTAATCAGCCTTGCCCTTTCTGAGGGCCTCAAGGTGGGTCACAATATCGTTGGGGGGCTGGCCCGAGCGAGTACGCTCCGTAACCGTAGTGACTTTGCGCACTTCCATATCCTGCATCCAGACCCGGACTCTCCACGCTGCACTCCACACGGCCACTTGTAGGGAAATGGACCGAAGAGGGAGGGCCCAGCATCCCCTTACCTGGGGGGGCGGGTGTTTAGATGACAGGCAGGGTCATGTGACTTTTTGTTTGCGTTCAGAGGTAGTTTGGCCCATATTATGAAGTCTGGGAATAGTTTCCAAAACTTCTGAGGAATGGAGAGAGCTGTTGTCTGTAAGGAGCCTATGAAAAGTTACAACAGGCTGCCTCTGTTTTCGAAGGGTGTTTCTCAAACAGGGCTCCCAATGATTTGGATTGAAAAACCAAACCAAGCCCAGAAAGCATGATTTCATGCCGGATGAAGAACAGTTTGAAAAGCCTCCCTGGGCAGAGGTAATTAAGCAGATTGGCCTTTCCAAAAGCCTTTTAAAAGATTTCTGGGCCAAAGTGTGCTGCCAGGCAGACCCCTGGGGTGACCCGGTTGAAGCGCCCACAAGGCATTTGGGGAAGAAGTGGCAAGCAAGAAGGGGGTTTTTTTCTTGGGGGGGGGGACGACGACTCTGGTTCCCATTATGGCCACTGGTCACGGATGATAGGAGTTGTAGTCCAACGGTAACTGGAAGGCAGTGAGTTGAAAGCGGAGAATGCTTAATGGGCCAGAGTTGGGGGAATTTAACTTTTTCGGGGTTCAGGGGGGGATTCTGGGAGTTGTAGTCCAAAAAAAAACTAAGCGTCCTAAACTCTCGAATGGACTATAATCTGGTGAAAGGTGGCCAACCGGGCAGCCCCTTTCACATTGAGGATGATGATGGTGCTCGTCGGCGAAAGAGGGC